TTTGGTACCATGGATTCAACTCAGGACCTTGTGCTTGTGAGGCAGGTGCAGCGCTACTGAACTAAGTCCCCATCCCTGTTTCACTAACATTTGAGAACAGATTTGTTCTTAGTCCAGGGGCTACCAGTGACAGACTCTCTGGGACTTGGGAATTAGCATACCCTTCTAAGAACTTAACTTAAAATCTCCCAAGGATCTGAGTCACGCTATGCTTGGTTACATCACTTTAACCAGAAAGAATAGCTCTTTAACAAGGAAGTTGTATGAGACCAACATATTCTTTCTCTGGATACATAAAAACATTCAATAAGTCAAGGCAGCTGGTATGGTTAGGAAAGAAGAAAATAGAAGAACAGATAAAGCTGGGTATGGTGCTGCATGTCTGTAATCCCAGTACTCTGGAGGCTGAAGTGGGAGGATTTCAAGTTTGAGCCCAGCCTGGGCAATGTAAAAGGCCTAGAGGTATAGTTTAGTGTAAAAGCTCTGTGTTCAATCCCTAGTACCACAAAAACAAAATAAAAAAATAAATATCGGTAATGTTCCTCTCAGTCCTAATCAAAGAAGAGTCATGGACAATGAACTTTGAATACCAGTTACCCTCAGAAAAGGAACCTGACCACAGGGGAAAGGAGCTAAACATGGATAAAATTATTCCCCTGTACACAGAAGTAATCCAATGCACCAATCTCTAAATAAATAGTGTAGGGCAGTGGTGGTGAACCTATGGTATGTGTGGTGCAGCAGACTGTGGTATCACTGAAAGTTCTAAAAGGTTTGGCATTACTGGTAGGGGTTTGGAGGAAGAGCCAGACCCCAATCAAGAGAACCAGGCTATGGTCTTATTAACATTCCTAAAGCTACAGCATAGTCAAGGTATTGAGGTCTACAGCAGAGTATCTGCTCTAGTGTAGAAAAATAAAGCTCAAAAGCAAGGATCACCCACGTCAGGGCGGCACTGGCTGGAGAAGGTGCAGAGCAGGTGGTGAGTCACAGAGCTGGTGGGTGTGTCCCAGCAGATGACATCAGGTGATCCAAGCTGGGCAAGGCAAACCATTAATGCCTTACACAGCAAGTTGCCGTGTAAAGGGCTTCTTATTTATTCTATTGTGAATTGTTTCCCCTCAGGAAGGAAGGAAAAGAAATGTGTGTTATGATAAAAAAAAAAAACAAAAACAGAATTTTGCTTAAGATTACTTCAAGCTTAAAAAGGAGAAATAAAGATTACACTGGATATGTTTCAGTCTAGATATTAGGTTTTATAGTCCTATCTTGGCACTTGACTTTGATACTAGTAGAATTTGGTACTTAAGGAATTTGAACATGAAAAATTTGTCCTAGTTGTTTGTTTGGTATTTGATGTGAAACTAGAGGCTGCCAGTGTTGACTGCCTGTTCACAAGCTACACTTTCCAACCAAAGCAATATGGTACTCATCATGCCTCTCAAAAACAATTAACGAATGAGTACAGATGTATCACTGTAATTTAAAATTCATAATGGATACCAGATCCTTCTGAATGAAGATCACAAAATGTCATGCATAAGCCAGGCACCGTGGCACATGCTTGTAATCCCAGCAATCTGTGAGGCTGAGGCAGAAGGATCTCAGGTTTAGGTCCAGCAACTTAAGAACCTAAATTCCTGTCCAAAACAAAAGGAGAGGTCAGGGATTTAGCTCAGTGGTGCCACCTGCCTCTTAAGTGTGAGTTCCTGAGTTTGATTTCTGGTACCAAAAACAAAAGCAAAAAAAAAAAAAAAGAAGGGGGGAAATGGGAGTCACTGCAAAGCCCTGGGTTCAATCCCCAGTACCAAAGGGGGGAAAAAAAAGCATGCCAAGCAATACTAAACAGTTTCTTCCTAAAGTGTGCATCAAACATTTAAAACATTGGTGATAAAGTACCTGATACCTCCCTCTTTCAATTGCAGAGGGTCTTAGGTCTTTCTCTGCTGTTGCAGGTGGCTTATTATAACCATCCTTATGTCTTGATTCAACCAAAACTGTTTTGGATGGTTACAAACCCACCATCCATGTCAATATCTAAGTAACTCAATAACAAGTTAAACTTACTTGCTTTCTGGTGCCAGGGATCAAATTTAAGACCTTGTGCTTGCGAGGCAGGCTTGGTGCCACTGAGCTAAATCCTAGCCCTAACGTATTTATTTTAACTAATAAGGTTACCAGAATATAAAGGACACACAATAGTAGCATTCAAGGACAATGACAGGACATCAGATATTGAAGTTTTAAAGGGGAAAACACCTACTGTTTTTCAGATACTCAAGGGAGAGAGATAAGTAGAACAAACAGTGTCCAGCAGTGAGCACTTTGGCTCCTTTTGTGGAGTACAAAGCGGGATAATATCAGTGGGCAGAGCTGAAGACACAGGAAGCAATTTCATTAGTCTGGTCCCAGAATAATCAGAAAATACATTTCAAGACAAAGTGCCCGGTGGAATTGTGAATTGTGTCTTAGTTTATTATTTGCATATTTAATGATTAATTTCTTCATATTTCCTCAACTCTCTGCTCTTACAGGTCAACAGGAAAGACAGACCTATAATCACAACCAATATATACTTTAAGAAAAAAGAAACTGCTTTGGGCCTTTGTTACGTGCCAGACACTGTGTGAGGTACTAGGAGACACAGAGCTGAATAAAAGACACATTGTTCAGACACACCAGAGAGGAAGGATAGGAAACATGGGCAAAGTAGAAGGGAGTACAAGAGATACAGAGAATGCTGTGAAAGGATAGATATTCACTATGTAGCCTTTAAAGTTCACCTTTAAAGTTTTAATTATTACACTTATTATTAAAATAATGGCTTTATTGAGATACAGGTCACATATACAACCAATCCACCCATTTCAAGTGTACAACTCAATGGTTTTAGCATATTGAGTTAAATATACTAATTTTTAATTGACAAATAGCCTATCACATATTGTTTTTCATCTAAAGATCAATAGCAGTGGTTCTCAACCCTAGTAGGATGTTAAAATATTCTGTGAGACTTCTAATATCCTAGCTAATTCAATTTACATTACTGAGGATTGAACCCAAAGCTTTTGCACTCAGCTACTTCTCCAGCTGTTTTTCATGTGTTTGTTTGAGAGAGGTTCTTCCTATGTAGCCCAGGCTGGGCTCAAATCTGTGATCCTCCTGCCTCAGCTTTCCAGAGTGCAGGATTATAGGTGTGCTCCATGATGCCTGGCTAGTCATTGATATTATTAAAAAGCTTTCTAGAAGCTGGGATACAGCTTAGTGGTACCATGCTTGCTAGCATGCTGGAGGTCCTGGCTGTATCCCTAGCATCACACACACACACCCCTTAGGTATTTCCACTGTGCAGTCAGGGCTGGGGATTGCTGATATAGAGCAATAATACTTGCTTATAGGTATAACTGCTAATGATTATGCTAATCTTCAACTGAGTAATTATGAGACACCAGGATGAAGACAATAGAGCCAATATTTAGGCCCAAGCATAATCTGTTATCCTCAGCCCTTCTCAGGAAATTCTCAAATTAAAATTTTGATATTCCCACTAGCTTCTCAGTAATATATTTTTTTCCTCATTGAGTCAGTAATATTATATTGCAAAATTTCAATTAAGGGATTTATGGATAGTTCTTAGGAAAAATCAAAAATTATTGTTTTTCCAGATGGTGTAAATAAATAGCAAGACCCTGTCTCACCAAAAAATAAAGAATAAGTATATAAGTGTATAAGTATATAATGTCACATGCCTGTAATCTCAGCTATTTAAAAGGCTGAGGCAGAAGGAGTCCAAGTTTTGAGGCTAGCCTGTGCAACCTGGAAAAACCATGACTCAAAGATCTATGGCTGAAGATACAGCTCAGTGGTACCGCATTTGCCTAGCATTCATGAGGCCCTAGGTTCAATCTCAAGTACAACAAGAAAACAAAGAACAAAACAAAAGAAAAACATAAAAGTAGCCTATAAACTGCCTTTGGAATTAGTGATGTGCATCTGTGTACCACAAATACTCAGGGGTAAAAGGCAATGCTTCTTCAACAGCTAAGACGTACATCCCCACCCAGGTTCTTTTCTAACCTCTCCTCTTCAAGGCTATTTCAATCCTCCTGCCTGTGCTTTGGATCACTGTGCTCTGACTGCTGTGGTTTGGGGAAGTATGCCCCAAAGGTCCACCTATGGTGCTCCTGGGAGGTGTTGGAACTTTAAGAGGTGGAGTCTAGTAGGAGTCTTCTGGTTACTGGGGCTGTGCTCTTGATGGGTGTTCTGGGAACCCAGCCCTGCCCCCTAGAATGAGGTGAATGACTTTTTTTTGGCACCAGGGATCAAACTTGGAATCTTGTGCTTGCGAGGCAGGAGGTAGAACCACTGAGCTAAATCCTCAGTTCAAGGTGAATGACTTTTTCTGCCATGTGCTTGGTGCCATGATGTACTGCACAGGTCTAAAAAAACGGGACCAGCAGGGTATTTAGCTCAGTGGTTCCGCTGCCTGCCTCACAAGCACAAGGGCCCGAGTTCAATCCCTGGTACCAAAAAAAAAAAGCACCAACTGACCATGGACTGAAACCTCTAAAACTGTGAGCTAGAACAGAATTTTTTTTTTTTTTTTTTTTTTGGTTTCACTACAGAGTTCAGGCTGGCCTTGAACTTGTGATCCTCCTGCATCAGCCTCCCAAATATTGGGATTACAGGTGTGTGCCACTAGACCAGGCTACAGCAAAACTTCTTGAAAGAACTATCTATAGTCAGTTTGTCCACATTTTGTCTCCCACTCACTCCTTGGCCCCCTGCAATCAGTCCCTGCCATCACACCACTAGGTGTCTCACCCCAAGCATGCCAACTATCTTCACACTGCTAACCCCAACCTGCTTCTTCAGCCTCATCTAACTTGATATTTAGATCACTAATTGTAGGTATCTCTATCTCTCCTTTTCTTATATAGCCAAATCTCACTTTTATTCCAGTTCCTATTTGGTCCTCATGTGCTTCAGGGGAAATGTATCACCAGTTTAAGGGCAGATAGATCCTGGGCCAATCAGAGCATGGCCTTACTCAGGTGAATGTATCATCCAAGGTGAGCACATGAACCTTAAGCAAATCGAAAAGAACTGTGATTGCCAGGAAAAGACCCCTCCCCACAAAAAAGCTATGAAGAAAAAAGGCTCATTAATTAATATACTAAGAGGTATTACACTAAGGTGAACACTGGTACATGCAGTCCCCTGGCCTGACACTGCAGTAGCCATAGAACTGTGTGGGCCTTGCAAAGCAACTTAGAGGGGAATGGTCTGCCAGAGAAAGGCTGTGGTAGCATTCCTGGTGACTACATCTAAGAAAAACCACTCCATCAAGTATAATCAACAAGCTAATCACCCCCAGGGTTACAAAGAAGGAATGACATTGTAGGTCTGTTTTTGTATGTTTGTTTGTTTATTGTTGTACTGGAGATTGAAACATCTCCAGCCTTCCTCCAACACACATTAAGACAAGGTCCTGCTAAGTACTCAAGTTGTTGAGGCTGGCCTGTAAATTGGGATCCTCCTGCCTCAGTCTCCCAGAGTGCTGGAATTATAGCCATATGCACCACACCCTGATGACATTGTGTTTTGTATTCATTCGTTAGTCTTGGGCATAAAGTAGGTCTTATTTATTTTTACTGCTCTCATTATAAAGCATAGCACTTGATAATTACTAAAATATTCAGTAAATACTGATTTAATGAATTAAGCCAGACTGATTGTATATGTCTTTCAGGCATTAAACCTAGTCACAAGAATGAGTTGTCTTGAGTCAGGTGTCATAATCTGTGCCTGTAATCACAGCTCTCAGGCGGCTGAGGCAGGAAGATAATGAGTTCAAGTCCAGCTGGGCTACACAGTGAGTTCAAGGCCAGCCTGAACTACACAGTGAAACCCTATCTCAAAAAAACCAAAAAAATGAAAAAACACAGCACAACAAAGAAAAAAAAAGAGTAAAAGAAAGGAATAAAGGAGAAAGGGAGAGGGAGATCTTGAGAGAGAAAAATGCAGTGGCTTAAAGTTCTGGTTTTAGAACTAGTACTCTAAAATTCCTAAAAGGCCCCAATTCAAGGCCCACATACTGACCATGTTAAAATGAGAGGCACTGTGGAATATCTTTATGTATACATATATACATTTGCAGTATTGTACTGTGTATAAAACAACACTGCAATTCACAGAGACAGTTAACAGCCACAAGAGGGAGCTTCCACAATGCAAAGTGACACCAACATTTCCATCTAGATGCTTGAGTAAGTGCTGGGCATTTTCAAACTTTTTTTTTCTTCAAAAAGAGACACTCCTGGGCCAGAGATTCAGCTCAATGGTGCTGCCATCTTGCAAGCACAAGGTCCTGAGTTCAATCCCCGGTACCCCAAAAACAGAAACTCCTATTCTAAACTCTTCACTTTTCTATAGCCACAAACTTGCCAGATGCTCATATTTAAGGGTGTCTATGTCTAAGACAGTCAGTGTATCTAGTCCTTAGCAAATGAGTCCTTAAACTATAAAATGCTGATTAAAATGATGGACAGTAAAAATGTCATGCTATACATGGGGTATTATGGATGTTCTCAGAACCACGTACCAGGATTATAAGAATTTTTCTTGTGAAATAGAAAACCATGTTTCTTTCCACTATCACCACTTTAAGTGGCCATTACTTTAGCACATTTTATGATGTGGTACACGTAACAGTTGTTTTGCTTTAAAATGGAGCCTAACAATTCCATTTAATTACTGTTACAGAGCCAGGCATGGTGATGAACACCTATAATCCAGGCACTTGGAAGGCTGAAGCAGGAAGACTGGGAGTTTGAGATCAACTTTGGCTATATACATAAAACGAGTGCGAGGTTGGCCTGAGATACATGTCAAGACCTTGTCTCAACAAATGAACAAACAAGCAACAACAAAAACCCAAAACTAAAAATAGAAAAACAAAATTACAGATAGAAATGAAATGCCAGCATCTCTACCTAGAGAAACTTCCTTGATCAGCTCAGCAGCAGAATGGCAACCCTGAACTAGTATCCTGGTCCAGGTTGACAGATCCCGATGCGTCTCCACCCTGAAAAGATGCATCTCAATGCCCTGCCGAGAGCCCGTCCGGGTAGCAAATGTGAGGTCAGATCCAAGGGAGGGCGATCGACATCCAGAGCCAGAATGAACCAACCTAGGACCACAGAGCAGAGATTATAAGAGGAAAATGTTAGGAATTTTCACTCCTTGAAAAGCAGAAATTTATAAATGCCATCAGCAGTTTTTAGTTAGAATATTTCAAAACAACAGTACTGTATAGTCTTTTCAAGGAGATACTATTCTGTTTTCTATGTAATGATTCCTGGTGTCACAGCCAGAAAGCATACTGTCTTCATCAAATATCTAGCTGGGTGTGGTGGCACATGCCTGTAATCTTAGCATTCGGGAGGCTGAGGCAGGAGGATCACTGTGAGTTCAAGACCAGCCTGGGCTGGGCTACACAGTGAGTTCCAGGCTAGTTTGGCATGGAGACACTCTGTCTTTAAAAAAAACAGTAAAAATAATAAAAAAAAAACATATCTATTGAGCTAGGTGCAGTGGTATGTGCCTACGTCTATAACTCCAGCTATTTTGGAGGCTGAGGCAGAAGCAATGTAAATTTGAGGCCAGCCTAGGCAATTTAGATCCTATCTCAAAATAAACAGTAAAAGGTACAGGGGGGCCAGGGATTTAGCTCAGTGGTTCCGCTGCCTGCCTCACAAGCACAAGGTCCTGAGTTCGATCTCTGGTACAAAAACAAAAACAAAAACAACATGGTACAGGGATATAGCTCAGTAGAAGGGTGGCCTTGATTTTGATTCTCAGCTTTAAAAAAAAAAAAAAAAAAAAAAAAAAAAAGAAAAGAGGGCCGGGGATTTAGCTCAGTGGTTCCACCGCCTGCCTCACAAGCTCAAGGACCTGAGTTCAATCCCCAGTACCAATAAATAAATAAAAAGAAAAGAAAAGAATTTCTATGGTGTATTTCATACAATGAAATATTATCCAGCCTAAAAAAGAAAATCCTGTTGTAATCTACCAATGGATGAATCTTGAGGACATTATATTAAATAAACAAGTCATAAAAAGACAAATATTGCATAATTCTACTTATATAAGGTATCCAAAGTAGTTCAGGAATTCTAATTTTTTCTTGGAAGTTATAATTTTATCACTGGTAACAAATATTATCAGAGTTTTCATTAAGTGACAGACTCATATCTGTCACTATAGAGAAGATCCAACTAATACACAAGCCTAATTAATCAGCTTGTTATTCAGTTTTTTTTTGGTTTTTTTTAGCTGTTTTTCCAGTCGGAAGTAGTGCTCCAGCCAGGCACAATGGTGCACCCCTGTAATCCCAGCACTTTGGGAGGCTCTGTCACAAATTCATGTCCTGCCTGGGAAACCTAGCAAGACTGTCTCCAAAATAAAAAAGGGGCTGAGGATGTAGCTCAATGGTAGAATGCCCTTATGTTCGATCTCCAGTAACACATACACAAAGGGGTGTTCCAGGCCAACAGCTAGTTAGCTCACAACTCAGTCACACCTGTGCTTTTCCTTAAGACAACCAGATCATACTTCAGTATGAGGCAAAAGTCCCCGCAGAGCACTCTCATTTCAACATACAGAATATTAAAAAGATAAATACTCAGGGGTCAAGATTAACTAAGACAATAATTTTTAGTACTTCAATAAAGATATTTAAACTGTCATGGAAAAAAAGAATTAAGATCTTTTATCCACAGATACAAATTCCCTATGATGAATGCTAATAAAAAAGGTTACGGCTAGAGATTTAGCTCAGTGGTCCCATGCCTGCCTTGTAAGCACAAGGTGCTGAGTTTGATCTCCAGTCTGCAAAGAAAAAAAAAAAAGTTAAACTGTCATTTTTTTACCCCTGGAAAGATCACAAGGGCTAATTCAGTTTAGTGCCAGTTGGCCTGATTTATGCAAAAGCATCAGCAGTTTTAGCGACCCTCAAGGTAAATGTCAATGACAAAGTATGAGTATTACCATGAAAATAGCTTTGAATTTATAGACCCTTGAAGAGGGGATCCCCAGGAGCCCATGAAATACTATGAGAACTGCTTTACCAAGCTGATTACTGTAGAATATGACAAAGTTATTTCCAAAAAAGTTAAAGAAGTTTCAAAATTACTCTACAAATGACCCAAGGAAGTTGGATCGTAGGGGAAAGTGGTATAGGGGTGCTCTATCATATTGTTTGATTGCTAATCCCAAATCAGACATTACAAAATATAAAATCTAGTAGAGTTTTTTCCTACAGATTTCATTATGAAAGATTTGACAGAGGGAATCTAATTTGAACCAGCTGCTGGACTTTTGCTATGCAGCAGTTGATTAGGACACGTTGTGAAAAGGGCCCCTTTTGTGGGAGGCCAGATGAGCTCACGCAAAGGCATTTTAGCAGCTTTTGCCCTGTAAGCCCCAACAAGCACACTACTCCATTTCCAAACTATAAAATAGCCACACTTTCTACTTTGTGAGCTCTTTTACCCCCTCCAGTCAAAGAAAAAACTTATAGGAAAAGACTAAAAAATCCACAGCTCCAATATATCTTTCCCCTGCATTGTGTTATCTGGCTTTAATCTCAAGAAATGTGTAAGATAAAAACTCTTTTATCACTTTCATGTTTTATTTAATTCATCACTGTCCTCAAGGTCAGTTATTAAGAATACACACACACATGCACAGAGCTTTGGTTTTCACAAGTGTAAATGTGCAATCCAATATAAACTATAACTCATTAATTTACATCACTCTAACAATGTTATCTGATTCTGAAATACAGTTAATTAAGTTTACTGGTACATTTTAGATATACATAATAATAACATTCATCATAGGGAATTTGTACCTATACATGATATATCTTGACTCCTTTTTTTTCCCATTCCCCTACACTCCCTTTTTAACACCCTTTTCATTTACAAAAGCTTCATTTCCATTTTTTCCTTCTTTTCTCATTTTCTTTTCCTTTCCCTTCTTTCCTTCCATTTTCCCATCCCCCTCCCTAGTTCCCTTACCCATTTGAACATTTTCTTCCTATTTCACAAGATACAGTATACATTTTGGTTTTCATTTACACTTTCAGTTTCTCACACCAGAGAAACAATTCAGCACTTACACATGTGTCCGATTTATTTCATCTAAGAGTATGGTCTCAGGGTGCATCCATTTAGCTAGAAATGTCTCAAGTTTATCTTTCTTATGGCTGAGTAGTACTCAACTCTATAAAAAAAAAAATCACATCTTCTTTATTCATTCATTGGTTGAGGAGCATCTGGGCTGTTTCCAGGATTTAGCTATTACAAACTGTGCCTCTAGTTTTAGTTCTGTGAGGAATCTCCAAATTGATTTCAACGGTGACAGCAACAGGTGCAACTACACTCCCACCAACAGTGGAGAAGGGTTTCTTTTTCCCCCCATCCCACCAGCATTTGTTATCAGTCTTAATAACAGCCATTTCTTTCTGGAATGAGATGGAATCTCAGCATTGTTTTAATTTGCATCTCTCAAATGATCAGTGATGCTGAATATTTTTTCACATTTATTTGCTGTTTCTACTTCATCTGAGAAGTGTGTACTCCTTTCAGATGCCCATTTTTGGATTGGGTCTTTACATTTGGGGGACCTGTTTTTGGTTTGTTTGTTTTTTGGTTCTTTATATATTCTAGAGAGTAGTCCTTTGAGGAAGAGCTGGCAAGTCTTTTCCCACACTGGTGGGTTGTCTCTTCGCTCTGTTGGTGGTTTCTCTTGCTGTGCAAAGGCTTTTTTTTTGGTACCGGGTATTGAACTTGGGTCCTTGGGCTTGCAAGGCAGGCCATCAAATTGCTGAGCTAAATCCCCGGCAGGCTTTTTAATATGATGAGATTCCAGTTGTTGATTCTTTATGACAGTTCTTGTGCTTTTGGGGTTTTGTTCATAAAGTCTTTACCTACACCAATGTCTTCAAGAGTTCTATCTATTCTGTCTTTCAGTAAGTAGATTGTTTTTGTTTTTGGTACCAGCGATTGAACATGGGACCTTGCATTTGTGAGGCAGGTGCCAGAACTACTGAGCTAAATCCCTGGCCCTAGTGTTTCTGTTTTAATATGTAAATCTTTTATTCATTTTTACTTTAGTTTAGGGCACGGTGAAAGATATGTGTTTAGTTTTAATCTCTGCATGTGGAAAGCCAGCTTTTTCAGCACCATTTAGTAAAGAGGCTTTCTTCTAGTGAAGGTATTTGGCTCTTTTGTCCAAGATAAGGTGGCTGAGTGGAGTTGTTTCTGCATTTTCTGATCTGTTCTATTGATCCTTGGGTCTGTTTTTTTAGTTAGCACCATGTTGTTTTTAATCACAATAGCTTTGTAGTATAATTTCAAGTCAGGGATTGTAATGCCCCCTTGCCTTGCCCTTGTTGCCCAGAAATGCTTTTGCTATTCTAGGTCTCCTCTGGTTCCACATGAATTTTAGAATTATTTTCTCTAATTCTGTGAGATATGTTATTGGTATTTTGATTGGGATAGCATTAAATCTGTGTAAAAATTTTGGAAGTATGGCCACTTTTACTATACTGGCTCTTCCTATCCAAGAACAAGGAACATCTTTCCATTTTCCAATATCTTTTTATCTCCTTTTTAAGGGTTGTGTAGCTTTCAATGTAAAAGTCTTTTACTTCCTTTGTTAAACTGACTCCTGGTTATTTTTTTTTATATATACTATTGTGAAAGACGTGGTTTCCCTAATTTCTTGCTGAGTTTGTTATTTGTGTACAAGAATGCTATTAATTTTTGAGTGCCGACTTTTTAAAAAGATACACTACTGAATTTGGTTATTAAATCTAGCAGTGTTTTGGTGTCTTCTATGTTAGAGTATCATGCCATCCTCAAATAATTTAACTTCTTCATTTCTTATCCTTATTCCTTTTATTTGTTTCTCTTGTCTAATTGCTCTGGCTAATGTTTCCAGAAGTATACTGAATAGGAGTGGTAACAGTAGACATCTTTGTCTTATTCCCGATTTTATAGTAAAAGTTTTCAGTTTTTGTCCATTTAGTATGATGCTGGCTGTCATAGATGGCTTTTATCAGATTGAGATAAAGACCATTATTTCAATTTTTCTGTAGTTTTTATCACGAATGGGTATTTA